AAACCTGCTATACCGTATATCTCGAAAATGGTTAAAGATATCGCCAAACGGACAAAAATCACGTATTTACTTAGAGACGCACCACACTTGTTCGAAAATCAGCTTCGTCCGATATATTGGACTTAGGCCTCTGGCGCCACCTCTAAATCTTAACGAAAAACGCTCATTTTTGGATATGTTGTTCGTTTGGCCCTAGTAACCATTTTCCACATGAGAAAACGTGTCCCCGAAAGATTTTGAAACATAAGCCCCACCCTACTGTAAGGCCCTTGTAGTTTTTGTTTAAATATTTATTTTGAAACTTTTCACACAGATAACAATTTTGAAATAAAACATAAAAAACGATTTTGAAATAAAATATAAAACAGCATTCTGAACAAAATGTCACATCAAAATGTTAGCGTTAGCGTTAGCGTTATCGTTAGCGTTGTTATGATATACTTCGTAGATTGGATACTAGCGACACTCACGTCTCTTCTGAAATTCTCAGTTAGACTACTTTCAGGAATAATGCTGAGGAGTAAACATTGGTTCCAATCTAAACAAGAGTAACAGAAGCATGACTGTCGCTATTCCCGGCCACGCCCATCTTTACCATAACTAGGGATAAGGAAGGAAATGTTGATGTAGTACTTACTTAACGAGAGGCCACCGACTTAGCGACACCCTCATAAGTGCTACGGAGTTGGAGGGTTGGGTAGGGTATTCGGTTAGGATTCACCTCAAGTTGGCGATGCAACCAAAAGTATGTATTGTTTATTTGTTGTTTATTTAATCTCTCGATAGCCGGCTATCGAAAGAACATATTAATTTTGTTTAGTGATAATGAATTTTAAGAGTCATGACGGAGAGCTTGGGATTAAACCCATAATTTTCTGCTCAGTAAGCAAAAACGATCCCTCCAGGGTCATCGAGCATCTCAGAACCATAACGCTTCGCGACAATACAGGACTACGTTTTCGCTTGATATGCAAATAGTTTCCAAGGTTAATGTTTAATATCAAATATACACATGATGGTGGCGATTTATTGTGCTGTTGAAGAGCTTGGGGTTAAATCTATGATTTTCTGCTCAGTAAGCAAAATCGATCCCTCCAGGGTCATCGAGCATCTCATAATCCACAGCGCTTCGCGTCAAAGTACGAATATATGGATGAACTATCTATTATTGAATAACTATTATTTACGATAATTACATGAATAAATAAAATATAAACTACAAACAAAACGTGACTGTTAAAATCTCAAAAAGATATTCTCACAAATATATTTCACGCCACCAGGAATCTCAAAACCAGTAGACGTTATAATGATACTCTGCACATGTTAGACACAAGAAAAGGCCAAAAACAAGCGTCCGAAACACAAAACCCGTCAAATCCACTTGCAGTCACAATTAACGATTCTACGAATCGCGAGCGCTCACGAATCATAAAACCGCTGACTGCGACACTCTGAAAGCGAAATTGACAGGCTCTATGCATCAAACACCCGCCCTCCAATCTCCACCCGCATCCAACAGCACAAATCTCCATTACAACATCTAACGAATTCAAAACTCCGAAAATTACTCATCTATAGCAAGTGAGTGGAAGCAACCCTGCATGCAACCATTCTTAATGATACACTTGTTCTGCCTATCTTTCTATTAGGCCTGTGGACATGCGTTAGCTTCGAAACTTCTAACCAAACTGGGTAAATTTTCAGATCACAAAAAAAAAAAAAAAAAAAAAAAAAAAAAAAAAAAAAAAAAAAAAAAAAAAAAAAAAACTTAAAAAAAAAAAAAAAAAAAAACTTTCAAAGGTAATTACAAGTAAGATAAATATTGATTATTTTACGCGAAAACGAGCAAGTAATATTAAATCTCTTGTATCATATGCTAATGCAAATTGACTGTAACAAAAATAATATGCTTAAATAAAATAAAATATTAATAAAATTAAATGCAAAATTTACTAGAAGATCATTATTTTATTGGTGATAAGTTTCTAATAAGCCCTCCCAGTTCCTCTGTATACAGAACAAATCTGACACTATAATCAGAATTGCTCAGTCTGCATGAAGCAGCCGATTTCATCAAGGAAGTTCTATTAACAACTAAGAACTAATCGTTTGAGGCATACTGAAGCATTATGAAGGTGATATATGTCACTATAGGAAATCATCAACGTTGCAATGATCAGTGAACGGGCACCATATGGTACATTTTCTCACCATGAACCTATCATTTCCAGCCTATCTGAACTATTTAATAAATGGAAGCCATAACATGGGTTACGCTCCCCCTAAGCGGGCCCTCCGCATCCTGTCTCTGTCTTTATCTCAAATACCAAATGCCAATGGTATGAATGTATCTTATATCTGAAAAATCCAAACCTGTTCTAATCCACCTGAAATGACTAACGAATGGAAGACTTTGACTACCCAGCCATGCAATAGTCTCATTCCGTGCCTAATGGCAACTTGATGATTCTATTGCGCTCATCTTTTGGCACCACCCAGGGGAGACTTGGTCCTGTACCCAATGCTTAACTTATCTCCATTCCACTCAGCTACTCGCAATTTCTTGTGATATAGTGGGCGGAATATTATTATATGAGACAATTCAATGCAGACGTCTTTCCAAATTTGGCAGATCGACAGGTAATCGGTGAGTTACCACGATAGTTGCTATTCAACAACTCGCAACGTCCCATCGTCAACGCCTGCTATGAGAATTTCCCATTGCAGACGCCAACGAAATGATGTCATCGAGCTATCGATCAACTACCCTGGTTATCGCCTGGTACCTTATAGCACGATGCTAGGAGGCGAACCGGAAGAATCGATGAGCTACCTCCCCCCAAAATGTCACATCAAAATGTAAAAACGGAAAGTTTAAAAATTGGTTCAACTTGAAAATGTCATAAGCTTTTAAGGTGATACTCTAAGGAAACCTTAGCGTGAAACTTCAAAGGTAAAAATGTCAGCTTCAACGAAACATACAAATTTGAAATTGCTACTCTCTGTTTGTAGTAGCACAGAAAAATATTCAAAAAATCATTAAAAGGATCATTTTTAGTTACTGAAATTTTGAACACTTCTTTGATTTTCTGCCCGAAATTACGTGAAATTTTTTATCTGGAACATTTATTATCTGAAAAGTGATTTTTTTTCCAACAAATTTGTCTCAGACGTCGTTTTGACTGGATGTGACGTTTTTGGGCTATTTTTTGCTTTATTTAAAATGGCCGATTTTTAACTCAAATTTGAATAATTGAACATAACAAATAAGTTTGCAAAGTTTCAAGAAAATCATAGAAGGTCGAGACAGAAATTCATTTTTTGTTTGCTTTGGCTTGGGAATTCTCATCCCTTTCATTGTATGTTTTGTCCATCTGACCTTGCGTCCATTTTGACCTTTTGTTCTTTTGAGTGTATCAGACCTTTTGTCCCTTCGACCTCTTATTTTTCACTTTTTTACCATTCGACCTTTTGCCCTGGTCAATTTTACTCCCAGAACAGTCTGGAAATTCCGTGTCCGAAACGAACCGTCGTTGCTTCCTTAACTTTTACATCGATTCAGCGCTGCGGTTGAGCACGTGTTTCCTGCCAATAAAATTAGTATAAATATTGGAAAAGTTTTCGCCTTCCGAACGTTTGCTGGCTGCTGTGGCGGTGGTGCAACCCACGATCCAGCTGCTGCTGCTCACAGAGCAGCTTCACAATCACGGGGCAACGATGGTGCTCAATTTTCCGACATGTGTCCGTTGCACATACATACAGATATGAGAGGGAAAGTGTGCGGAAATTGTGTCAGTTCACCACCACTGCCGGGGGGAGGTGGGAGGAAGTGAAATTCTCATATGAGATTTCTGCTTGTCTTGTTGAGATTTCTTTACCGACTAGAACAGTGCACAAACACACACACACACATACATAGGGACCACCACTTACTTGTTTGACTTGAGTCGTAAACATTTCACTTGAAATCTTGAAAAGCAGTCCTATCAGTCAGTCAGTCAGTCAGTCAGTGTTGGTGGTGGTTGGGAGGCTCTACAAATTGGCTCAGTTTTAAGTCGAAAGCAGGTTGCAGCTGGTAGGAATCCTCTTGAGGGGGATCAACATTTTTCATTCTGAATGTTGTTGCTGCTGAGAGACGAAGATTATCGGTTTCTGGAACAGGACGGAAATTTCCTATGAATAGAATTATTAGCAATGCGAATAATAAGGCTTTGGCTGGATGGTTTTGGATTGCTATGTTGATATGATTTCATACTGGATGGAAATACTCATTACAATTCAAAGCGACAAATCGAAAATGATGGCAGGAGTCGTCAATCAAGTTAGCAATTTGTACGAAACAAGAATTTATTAAAACCCACCCGTAAACGTCTTATTAATTAGGAAAATTTATAAAAATGCGATCAAGAATCCCACTTTCCCACCCACAGGAAAACAAATCTTCTGCTACCTCTGCAAACATCATTTTAATGCTCATTGCTTCACCTTAATTACTGCCCTTTTATCAGTAATTATCACCACTCCGTGCGGTTCTCGCTCAGGTCGGTGAGCGTCCAACAACAATCCTCAGTCACCACTCACCCATCCATGGGAGCGAGAAAAAAGAAGATGTTCGTTCCAATTTCGGTAAAGCTCCTTACTTCCATTTCCCCACTCCACAGAGACAGCGAGCCAGAGTGGTGGGGGTGGCACCGACAAGGCAAACAGACTTGTCCTTCCCATCTCAGAGTCATAATAACTTTTAAGCTTCCTCTATTTATTCTACCGACCCGACACACGTTAGGCAAGAGTGCGAGTGGCGGCATCTAATTGCTTCTTGCTCCATCCACCTCCATACACGTCGGCGGTGACACGAGAAAACGATTCCGAACGCTCTGCCGCCGAGCGAACAACCTCGTGTGAATCGTGTGACTGACTTGGCTGTGAATGAATGTGCTCCCTTCGACAAAGTGCAACAGCGTGGCAATAATTCCCTTCGTTATTTTTTCTCTTTTCAGTTGGACCAACTGCTTCAGGACGACGTCGACGTAGCAGCAGCAGCAGCATCACCAATTCAGCAATGATAGCCTCCGCCCAGCGATGGACAGTTTTAATACCGTTCCTAACGATAGGGTTCCTGCTTCAGACATGTAAGTACAGTACAACATGTGCTTCGTTTCTTCATTTTTCGAGCTTTAGGGATTGGGGAGGGGGGGGGGGATGTAGGTGGAGGTTTGATTGCAGAATGGGTCACTGCATCGAAACCATTTTTCGAACTGTCCATGATACAGGATATTTTATAAGACGACACCCGTAGTCGTTTTCTCACCATGATAAGTTAGATTTCGTTTTATGCTGGTTGCGTTTGAAATAACTTTCCGGCGATGGTGTCCAAACAGAGGTGTGTGTAAGTGTGTGTGTGTGTGGGAAATGTATTAATTTTTCATTTTCACAAACAAAAATTTAGTGATTAAAAATGATTGGAAATTTTCTCTAAATTTGATCCCTAACAGATAATAATCTAAATTTACAAGAGAAAACAGTTAAAAGGTATGTTACCAGTATTAAAATCAAGTTGGCTCACTAATGTCTAAATGCCGCTATCTGACTTGCCAACGAACATAACAGCGCCAACAGAAGCCCACAAAAGCCGCAAAACATTTCTTAGTAACGCTTAAAGTTTATTGAAATCACATGTCATGTTGAAATATTCCATATTTTCTTTTAACGGCTTAAAACTCAACAAAAGACGATCTTCTTTTCAGTAAGAAAAAACGGTCGCCACAAGGCCAGTGAGCCCCTTTCATAATTACTAACAATTGCACAGTGGTCCAGAATGCAGATTTAGGTGGAATGATATGTTTTGAGCCTGAAATTGAAACTTTAGACTAAAAGTCTCTTCTACAAAGTTGTTCCTTATAGTTATGCCCTCATTTTGATGACAATAAATTCTGGGGTGGTTCCTATTATCATTAAAATCAAAAATCTAACTTATCTGTTTGAATAAATTAAGGTATACATTTTTCGACAAAGCTATAGCTGAGCTAATTTCAAGCAACTTTGGTCAAAACAACTTTTTTGTATCTCTTTAGTTGGCCGATTTAGAGCTATTTTCTTGAATTGAGTTAGGGTGGCTCTAAAAAAAAACAGTTGTTTTGCTCTAGTTTTCTTATTTCGAATTTCTCAGCAAAGGTGTCTTGGAATAACTTTTAGATCTTAAGAAGGCGCAAATTTTTGCCGCACAAAGCTTCTCAATATCTTTCGCCGATCAAAAGTTATTGACGTTTTTATACTAAAAATATGCACTTTTCATATTTTAATATCTCTGGTTGGGGCAAACAAAAAAAAAGTTTTTCGACAGCATTTGAAAGGGCGTATGTTATTCTCAATAATATGAAAAAATGGAGGTATGTTATTTTTTAAACTCGTATAAAATCAATTTGAATTTATTCATATTTTTTACTATATTCGCGTATATCTTTTTTATTAGAAGAGATACAGACAACAAACTTCGCTATAAAACATTCGTCTCAAAGAGTTTTAAAAGTCTCTAGAAGATGACTTTCTGATATCACAAGTCTAAACCATTCAGTCTGTCGGGACCATGTTACAGTCGCTTTAAATCAATGGATGCATGGTAGGCTTGTCGCATAGGAGAAAACTTGATAACTTCAAAAAAAATTTACCCAGAAACGAAAAAAAAACACATCACTGATATTTTTTATATGTTCTGTAAAAAATTCTTAATTTTCTAGGCAATATATAAACACATATTACGCCCTCTCTCTTCAAACCATGAAAACCATAGAAACAAATACAATCAATATTTGACAATACAAGAAACAAATAATTTATTCATTATATTTTTTCCTAAAAGTTTACAAAGTGTGTTTAATTACATTTCATTTCATATGTTGTTTTTTGAAATCGGTCTATTATAATAAGTTATAATATTTGAATAAAAACATGTTTAAAAAAAACATTTTTTGGACCACCCTAACATGCAAATGGTCACCTTAATGACAAAATAAAGAAAAAATACGGGACCCCCTGGAACTTCTCAACCTACCAGAATCAGCGATACGATAACAGGAATCTGTGGTGGATCACGCTCAGCGCCCATACTACCGCACGCCACTGACCATCCAAATTCTGGTTCTTCTTGATTGGAAATGAACGACTGGGATTCGGAACACACCGAAAATCTACAACAAACAGCATTACCGAAGAAAAACGTGCCAGATCAAATGGAGCGTTGAACCGTGACGGAAACAAGACGCTACTGGCTCCACTATCTCTGGAGACATCCGACCCGAAACCCCACGCCAGCAACAAATCTTCCCTTCTCGTTTCCTGGGTCACGACCATTTGCTGGTTTGCTGGGGCAAGTGAAAAGGGGACGCATCACATACATCCGGTTTCGCCCTGTTGCCCTCTTTTTTCATGCCTCGATTTCGGAAGGATTCATCTTGAAATCTAACCGGATGGAGGGACACTTTTGCCCGGTCCGGTGTACGGTCGCATTTGTTTGTTTGTTTGGACATGTTCAGTTCTGACATACTGGGGCATTACACCGATCTATTTTCAGATCAAAATAAATCTTCTCGTGTAACAGTGTCAACTCGCACCAATAATGCGCTATTTCAACAGCTACGCCCATTAATCACTTCGAACCTACGTCAAACGTATCCCAACATGTCCGTGCGCTCGAATTATTCATATTAATCAACTGAGGAATCCACACTACTGGAAGCCATTAATTTCGGTAATAACACTCACACAGCATCATCAAAATCACACTTCATCCCCCCACCACCCGATCGTCGTCGTCCCACCTTTACAAGCAGGAACCCAACATCATAACTAACGCCTAACGGTCCCAGCCAAACCTCCAGTCAGGCAAAGAAGTGAAAGGTTTGGGCAAATAAAGTGACAGGTTTATTATTGGTATTGTTGTGTAGTTACCACTTCGGTCTCTCACTTTCCCTCTCCAGTCGAGATTTTCTTCTGGGGTTGACGTGTCGAGTCCCCGGCGGTGGAAAACGGATTTGTCCACCCCGACCGTTCGCCTGATTCGTTTCGTTGTTGCCTCGGTTTCCCTCCACGTGCGGTGAGTCGACGAATCAGGGTTGACTTTTTCTGACGCCTTTTCGTCGTAATTCTTCGGATGGCAGTGGGAATAATGGATGAGATAATAGGGTGACCATTAGACTGATGCAAAATTTGACATTTTCAAATTCGACACAGTGCGTAAACGGTTCCAAATTGGGTCCTGATTAGCCTCCCAAATTTTGATCTCATTCATTCAGAAACTTACTTGGCACAAACCATTATCACTCTGCATGCAATTTTCAACTACATGTCTGTTGAACATCACTTTTCGATCAAATGTTAAGAACAAAAGTTATTAATGTACAAGATGCTCATGTCTTATGATCATGGTCAATAGACTGATGAAAAATTTGAAATTTTCACTCCACATTGCTCAAACGGTTCAAATTGGGCACTGATTAGCCTCCCAAAATTTGAACTCATTTGGTGAGAAACTGACTTGACACAAACCATTTGAAGTCTATAAGGGAATTACTATGGAGAAACCATAATTTCGGTTCATATCTATCTCAAAATTCATCAGTTCACTCTACTTCAAAAAATTATAACTAAGCTTGTTGAAAATTTTCTCAGCTACAACTTTGTTAAAGACCACTTTTCGATCAAATATAAGGAACAAAAATTATTAATGATTCAAGTCACTGATGTCTTATGATTATGCTCAATCAGCTGTTCAGCAGGAAACATTGGTGTTTATAGCGCGTAGAATAGAGGATAAAAATCATGGCTACTATGTCACACTGCAGAATACAGTGTTGCCCATAATGCAGTTGCTTAATCTTACCATAAGATTATCAATGTCTTAAGCAATTAATAACTATTGATTTTGACGTTTGGCTGTAAAACGATTTTCTGCAAAGTTGTAGCTGATAAAAATTCCCATAAGAATAGCAATTGAACTTGTTTAACAGTACAATATGTAAAAAGACTATAAGACAATGAACAAAAAGTTTTGTTTTCCCATAGTAATTTCCATATAAACTTCAAATAATTTTTGCCAAGTCAGTTTTTTTATCAAATGAGTTAAAATTTTTGGAGGCTAATCAGGACCCGATTTGGAACCATTTGAACACTGTGGAGCGAAAATTTCAAATTTTGCATCAGTCTAATGGTCAATCAACTGTTCAGAGCACAGATAGAGCACAACAATCATGGCTACTATGTCACACTGCAGAATACAGTGTTGCCTACAAAACAGCTGCCTGATCATGCCATAAGATTATCAATCTCTCAAACAATTAATCATTATTTAATTTGACGTTTAGCGGAAAAACGATATTCTGCAAAAATGTAGCCCATAAGAAAGCTATTGTACTTTCTAACAGTGCAATTTGGAAAAAGGCTAGAAGACTGTGAATGAAAATTTAGGATTTATCATAATAATTTCCATATAAACTTTAAAGTGTTTGTGGCTAGTCAGTTTCATAACAAATGAGGTCAAATTTTGGAAGGCTAATCAGGACCCGATTTTGAACCATTTGAGCACTACACACTTAGAAATTATCGCTATTGCTACGCGCGAGCTGTTGCATTGGAACTCTTGCTGCGATGCCTCGCCACAGAAAGGTTCCCATCGTAGAAGTCAGTTTTGCCGTATGAGCGGCAGTTAGTGTGAGAATGGATGCGAGATACCATACCCAAGCAACACCATTTGTTTCTCAGCGACTAACAACAACCTTAGTGTGACTAATAGACGGTCTAAATTATGGACAACGCACCGCATATAAAACTTAATTGTACCTTAAAAAGCGCAGAAGGTGGAGTCTCTTTGCAACTTTTGTTTGTGTCATAAGATGTTGCAAATAAGGTGCGTGATATTTGAATGACACAAGTTGTAAATGAGGTTTCAACTGACTTAACTGCAATGTTTCACTGAAATATTTAAAACAGTACTGTGATGTTTTCGAATACATGTAAATGACATTCAAGTTAACCACATAAATGTATTGGATATTTTTGTGAGGTGATGCGGAAAAAGCATACTGATGTTTTTATTTAGACTGCAAAATCAGAAGGGACAATCGTAGAAAAAGTCATT